CTCTCTCTCTCTCTCTCTCTCTCTCTCTCTCTCTCTCTCTCTCTCTCTCTCTCTNTTTCTCTTTCTCTTTCTCTCTTGCTTTTGCTGCTTCCGAGTGCTCACGGGGAAGCTTGGGAGAGGTAATGGTGGTGGGGATGGTTAGGATGGAAGAGTGTGTGTTGCTAGTTTAGGCTGATCCTGCAGAATGGCGCTGACAAGCTTTTGGAGGCGTCTTTTCTCGCATGGGGGTGTGCGTGGGTGCTTGGTTCAGGGGGCGGAGGCGAGGTTCGGCTAGCATGGTTCATTCGTTGCAGTCGATTTTACTCCTCCAGCACTTGTGATCCTTCGGAAACAGCCGCTTTGGAGGTGAAGCGAAAGAAGTGGAGAGGGAAAAAAAGAAGTGAGGAGAAATAACTTCCAGAGCAAGTTCCCGGTGATGCCTTGTGATTCACGGCAGCTCCGGTGATGATGCCCCTGGGCATTACGAATACGGTGGATTACCGTACGGGGCTGCATGATAATATTATGATAAGTTACAGTACTCGTACTTGTAGCTCAGGATGATGATGATGATGATGATGATGATGATGATTGTCAGCTAAGTTACCGGGAAAGTGGGAGGGCCAGCAAAGAGAGGGTAACAGGGAGGGTAATCTTCAGCTTCCTCCTGCTGCCCCCGTGTTTGCCATCATCACGCTCCGGTGAACTCGCCTGTGATAGCGGTACATAGCGCCCGTCTGGGCTGCTCCCGGCGGTGTCTCTCGTAATAATACCGCTACGATACTCGAATCCAAACGAGAATGAGTTGACTTACCATACCACAGCGGCCACGGTAATCCCCTCAAGCCAGCCCTCCGTGCTCATTCTCGGCTCCTTCCTGCCCTTCCAGTGGGAATTAAATCCATGACGTCATAGGACACAATCCCCTCCTCCAGTAACCAGCCCACACCGCAGGTGCAGCGCCCTTGAAGGGAGCATCGCATTCTTGCTCTCCGCCTCTTTCCACCCCCATCTATCCAAGTTACTGTAAACTACAGTGCAGGAATTCCTCTTTTTTTTTTTTTTTTTTTCTCCTCCGCAGAGTGCAGCGAGGCGAAAAAGCTTACTTTTCGAAAAGTGTGTGTTGAGCTTTTTTCTTTTTTTTCTTTTCTTCTTCTTTTGTTTTCCTTTTTCTCTTTTTCTCTCTTTTTCTCTCCTTCGGTGTCGTGTCTGGTTCATTAATCTATCCATCCAACCGCGGCAGTAGCACCGATACGGTGGTAGTGGTGATGAGCCGTCGTCGTCTCTGCTATCATACTTCTATCCCAATACCGGAATCGATATCTCGGAGATGTCCTATCAGGTTTCCAACCCTTTTCTTCCCCTTTTTTTTTTTGCTCTCTTCTCTTTTCCTCTCTGGTTGCAGTTACCGCCAGTAATTGCCGTGGCGTTAATCTTTACACATACCCCACTGGACCTGTGCCGGTATTACTAAAGGAAGGGGGGGATTGAACGCCAGAGTGCTGGGAATGCGTCTTGCATATGATACCGGTGGGATAGGAAGTGCGCAATTATGGATGCGTGGGCATGGAGGAGTGTGTACCGATACAATACGGTATGTGGTTCTGTAGTGGTGGCATCCCTTCTCCTCCTCTTTCCTTCGCCCCAAGTTGGCCAGGTGTCAAAATTAAATGGGGTAAGAAAAGGGTTTGATGAGCCTTTCGGCCTGCGGTTTAGGTTTACGTAGGCCATGGGGGGGCAGGGCAGGATAGGGTAGCGAAGGGTAGCGAAGGGGTGGGGTGGGCAACAGACGGAGGGGAGCTCGAAACGGGGGTAAAGAAAGAGCTAATGGTGAAGTAAAGTTGATGACCAGTTTCCGCAGGTTCATTGGGGTCATTCTGATACCGCCAAGACTACGAAACCGTAGGGCAGATTACTGCCTTCTTAGCGAATGGATTGTCGTTTGCTTGCTTGCTTTTTTCTTGCGCGGTTGCTTTGCGGGGGACCTGGAAGTTGCTGATCAATAGGGTACCCTATGGTAGTGGATGGGAAGGCTTGGGAACTTTTGAAGGGGAACCACAGTACTCAAGTACTCGTGTCGCTGGATTGAAGTCGGGGGGGGTTTTTTTGGAGGGTCACCGCCAAAACAGGAGCGACTTTGATCCGGCAACTTGGGTACAGTACGAGCAGGAAATCAGCCTTGTCCGCCCCCTCTTCCCTATTATAAGAGAGGCGATTCGTAAAAATGCAGTGAGACTTTCCCCCGCGGGAGCAGCTTCCCTTTTGCGGACCGTTGAACGATAAGAAAAAAATTTCTTTTTTTCTTTTTGGGTGGACTGGGAATACCGGTAGGTATCATAAGGAAATCTTGTGCACAGTAGCGGTACCGTATTGTACTCGTACTGCACGAGTACTCGTACAAGCTCGAGTAGACTGCTCGAGTACTGAGCCTTGACCTGAGACCGGTGACCGCCAAGCAACTTCTCGGGGGATCACCGACCCGCTGCGACCCTCGGGTCTTTGGGTGTTTCTGGCCCTTATTCCCTCTACCGGTATCCTCTTGCTGTTGTCTAGATGCTACACGCCCTCTCTCCTTCACCCCACTCCCCTGTAGCATTCTCCTCGCTTGGTCTCGAGATTCGAGCAATAAATACGCTTGGTGGGTCCCCCATACTTACTTGCAGGTGCGTGTGTACTCGAGTAGGCCTCTGTGACCTGGGGACAATCGCACAAATTACCAATATATCACTCTTCTCCGGTCCCTGTCACGGGAATGCCGTTGCTAAGGGGAAGAGCAATCGAGGCCCGAATTTTCTCTCGATTGGAGATGCTTTCTTTGTTATTGTTGTGATTACCGTGCCTTCATTTTAGCTACAGCAGAGCACCGTTCGATTGATTGGTTACCAGGTCCAAGAAATCGAAAAGGGAAAAGAAAAAGGGAGCAACATCCGGGAAATAATTTTACTGTGGCTAATTGGCTACTGTTGGGTTAACCGCAAATCCACTGGACTACCGGTAGCGCCCCGGAGAGCCAAAGGATTCGATTTCCTCTGTGAGTTTGGTACGTCAGTCCCCATAAGTCAAGAATTTTCTTTGGGCCTGCATGAGAGGAAAAAAGAAAAAAGGGAAAAAAAGGAAAGGAAGAGAGAGAGAGACAGGCTTCGGCATCGTCTGTACTCGTACGGGTACGCTACAGTACCACACGCTGCATTAAGGTGCCTACAACGCGAGCCCCAAGGTCAGGCTCCTTTCGGCCTCTGAAGCAGTGTTGTGCTTGAGTACGGTAGAGCAGAGAGGGACTGTTCTACGAGCCATCTTGTCGGCAGTGCCGCCCCACCTCCCCCCCCCCCCCCCTACCTCCTCAACTCTCTTACCAAAATCACCCCCTGCTCTAATGCTACCACAACTGCTGCTACATATTATCATATTTACCTCACCACTCCCAGCCTTTCTTCCCTGTCTACATAACTGACCTTCCTCGCTCCCTGGAGCTCCATCACCTCTGTGCCGGTATACTTCTTTTGGGTAATGCACTGTTTGTTGGTCTCAAATTAATAGAAGGGAAGGAAAGAGAGAAGAGAGAGAGAGCGAGAGGATAAGGGAGGCCGGGAGCTTTTGGAATCTATGGGAGAATTTTCGGGGAAAGGAAGCATCACAAATCGGGATTCACCATGAATACTTCATCCCATTTGATCTCCACTCACTCCTCCCAATCCGAGTACGATGAGGAGACAAGCATGGAGACTACGAATTGGCAGCAAATGCCGCCTGTTAGGCAGACAGCATCGTCGCCAATTGCCGGGGGTGGCGCGCCCTCTTCAGTCCCAGCTAAAGCGCAAACCCTACCACTCCAGAAGCGCCGTAGAGTCACTCGGGCTTGCGACGAATGTCGGAGGAAGAAGATTAAGTGTGATGGCAAACAGCCTTGCACCCATTGCACTGTTTACAGTTATGGTTCGTGTCGCCTTTTCTATTTTCTATTTTCGGGGCAAGATGTCCCCTTCCTGCCTCGTTTTACTGCCCCTGTGCGAATTAAACTTTATTTAAGGCAGCGGAGGAGGAGTTTCCGTCTAAACTAACATTTGCGGTATGGTTGTGAATAGAATGCACCTACGATCAACCCTCAAATCGAAGGCGTAACCCTGCCCCGCAATACATCGAAGCCCTGGAGACGCGGCTTCATCGGATGGAGGCTCTGCTCAAAGTATTACTTCCCGATGTTGATGTGAACCATCCAAACTTTGACCTCAGCAAGTTGCTATCGCAGATGCAGACGAACGGAGTAGCCCGTAACGCGGGAAAGGATGTAACCGCAGGTTGTGGCCGCGCCCCAGGCGTTAACGGGAGCGCTGCAACATCTATACCGGTGGAGAAGGATTCCCTTTTGGAATCCATGGTCGAAGCGGCTGGCCGTCTGGACATTGATGAGAGTGGGCATATGGACTTTCATGGCCATTCATCGGGGGTAGCCTTTCTCGCCCATCTTAACACACAGCTGTCGGATCTACTCGGCGATGATGCTACCGCGAAGGCCATGTTAAAAGTGCGCGCTGCAGCCTTCCCGGCGGTCTTTGACACCCCTGGCTCAACGGCCGATTCCCCCTTCGATGGCCATGCCCCAAATACTTCCATGTTACCTGCAAGGGAGGTCTCAAAGGTTCTGCTGGACGTTTGTATGGATGATGCTTGTGTCCTCATGCGCTTTGTGCACCGGCCGACCTTTGATGATATGACGAATCGAATATATGAGAAGGATCCGAATGATTTCGGGGATGACGAGAACAATCACCTACCATTGCTATATCTCGCTCTTAGTGTTGGATGCATATTCTCTAGTGACCTTTCGCAGATTGGAATTCCAGACCCGGTTGCCGAAGGGTGAGATTGAGATCCATGGGGCCCAGTGTCCGATCACTATTGACGATTTTTAGGACTAAATATTTCAATATCGGGCGTCGTATGATAGAGATTACAGATTGCTGGGATATCCCATCCATCCAGTGTGTTGTCATGATGGTTCTGTTTCTTCAGTCGTCTGCTAGGATGTCAACATGCTACTCCTACGTGGGGATAGCTTTGTCTGCCTCGGTGCGCATGGGGCTTCATCGTTCGTTGCCAGAGACAACGTTTGATCCTATCGAGCGTGAAACTCGGAAACGGGTATTTTGGACTGTGCGGAAGATGGATACGTATGTGGGCGCCTTGTTAGGTTTGCCAAAGGGGATCGCGGATGAGGATATAGATCAGGAGATGCCGGCCGAAGTGGATGATGAGTTTATCACCAAAGATGCTATCCTCCCGCAACCAGATGGAGTGATGCCGGTGATTCTTGCAGCAAATGCCCATTGCAGGCTATTGAAGGTAATGGCAAAGATGGTGAAATACATATACCCCCTGAAGGGGGTCGAGGCTAGCGTTACCGGGAAGGGATCGAGTTACAGTGTCAGCTCTTCAAAACTGCGCGAGATTGAGGGCGACCTTCAGGAATGGCTCGAGAAGTTGCCAATGCAGTTGAGGCCGGGAGGAGATACTCCCGAAGAGTTACAGAAGTATATGATCCACCCTGCAGCCATAGCAAAATGCTGATCTAAAACAGGGTACAATACCTCTTGAAGATGGCTTTTGCTCACGTCCAAATGATGCTATACCGTCCTTTCCTGCATTACATCTCCCGTCCGAAAAACGAAGGCTGTGATGAGCGGCCTTATGCCAGCGCCGCCAACTGCGTGAACGTTTCTAGGAAGATCGTCCACACGGCGGGCGAGATGAGAAGATTGGGTATCCTTAATGGCGCCTACTGGTTCACGATGTATACATGCTTCTTTTCCGTCATTACCCTTGTGTACTTTGTGCTGGAGAGCCCGGAGGAGATAACTTCCTTGGCGGTGCTGCGGGATGCGGAGACGGGCAGGGAGTTATTGGAAAGCATGAAGGATAGGAGCCTAGCTGCGAAAAGATGCTCGGTGGCATTGGCGGTGTGTTGCACCCAGTGTTTGAAGGGGAGCACTTGTACTGACGTATCAGACGCTCTTTGGAAACCTTCCAGAAAACCTCCGGCCGGGATTAGAAAAAGCAAACTTGGCAACCGGAAAGAAGCGGGCCAGGGCAGGCTCGCAAACAAAAGCCGGCTCGGAAGACCCACCGGCACACTGGAGCAGCCGAGAGTCATCCGGCACCATATCACCGGATGTAGATGAGCAAAATCGACGTTCCAGAACCTTTCCTTTGTCCCCAATGGTCGAGTCGAGACGACAGTCAATGCCGCTAGAGCTCCAGAGGGGCAACCTCACGCCCACCCAGGATCCCCACGTAACACGAAGGGGCTCGTATGAGCTCTACCACACAGGCTCCGGCTTCTCATCTGGCGTAGAGACCCCAGATCAGACAATGTCCTTCCAGTTACCCGGGAGCGGGCTGCTGGACCTCAATCAAATGATGTTCCAGTCAACAGACCCCTTCGGCTACAACTACTCGTCAATACATGCTCCGCACTCAACAACCTACGCTGAGCGCCCGCAAGGCACCCCTGGTAAAATGGACCATAGCTCGTCCCCCCCCGAAAGCCACTTCCGTGCGTCCGGCAGTGGCGGGAGTGGTAACCCATACGACAGTCTTGAAGTGCAACTATTCGGTCCCCTCCCACCGTACCTCCTCCAAGGCCAGCCCGAGGTTCCGGAAGGCTCTTCCCCGGTCACGCCAGGTCCGGACATCCGGATGATCCCTAGCAGCAGTACCCAGCTGAACTTTATGGGCGTTACCTCGGGGCCTGCTGGACTTGATGGGCTCTTCGGAGGTGAGTGGGATGAGATGTTGCAGAGGCAGGGCAATCCTTAGATTTGGAGCCTTTCTTTTTCCTTTCCACCAGTTCTGCTTGCCTTTAGGAACATTTTTGTCGCTTTTACGCTACAAATAGGTTACCGGTAATGGAATTCCCACCCCTTCTCCCTTTCACATTTCCCCTCCTTTTTTCTTGTCCGTTCACAGGTTTCCTTCCCTGTATCTATCTACCTGCATCGCTGGCGTACCTTTTTTTTTTCCCTTCTTTTTTCTATCATTGATTGAGGCATGTGTCCATTGTATCACCTACTCGTATTCTCTCATTACCCAGTCATTGGTTCATTAGCTCGTTCATTCATTCCTTTATTCGTTCGTTACCCACATTAGCAAAGGGATGTTTTTCTTGCCGGGGGGATAGGTCTTGGAAACATGAGAGAAAAGCTGAGGTAGATTGGAGTTGGGTGTATTTTTCGTCATTTTCACCATTGGAGTATATTGCTGTGTTTTTGTTTTGTTTTGTTTTGTTTTTTTTGGTGTGGAGATATGAGCACGGTGCTGTACTGTGCGAGTATCGTGTTGGTCGTTTCATCGATGGATTGATGTGGTGCACTCTACCGTACCCCGCGAGAAAAGTCCGATTGGTCGGTATGGGGTTAACCGAGGTTGTGGGTGGGGTTCCCGTAGCTTGGGCGAGTGAGGGGTTGTGTGAGCGATTTCGTGTGTTGGGATCGTGGGTTCGAGGGAGAGAGGAGAGGGGTGTGAGATCTTTTCCTTCAAATTTAATAATGATGGGGCATGCACTGGATACTTGGCTCACCCCCAGAGGCGATGCCAGGAAATTTTGGCCAGGCCCAAGACGAGTTGGCTGGCGTTGCAAAACCTTGGCTTTGAAAGGTTGTGTATGGATGTTCCACGGTTATGATACTTTATAGATATATGAGAGGAGGAAGTAATCCTGGCACCGATAGCTACATAGTGCGAGTCCAAGCGGGCCTCTCATACTCCACCATGCCTCATCCCACCCATAACCCACGCTGACCGGCAACATCAAGCATCTCACGAACATCCCGATTGATAACAGACCCATCCCCACCGGACAAATCAGAACATCACACGCGAAACGTAATCTATCCTAAGCCTATCCGCTTTTTGCATCCTTAAACGGCCACGGGCCACTGGCTTGCCGGGCCAAGATGCCTAGCAGATCTATCAGTACGACAAAAATGCGGCGGGACATGTATACGCGCACACTTTAGCAGAGAACATCCCGCAGCCGTGAGCACGATATAATGGGGCCTTTACGTCTGAAGATTGTCGCATTTCTCGATCGAAGAGGCACAAGTCAGGTTAAATTACCGGGAAGATCAACCTACTATTTATCTATCTTACCCCGAGCCCACCACACCGCAATGCCTCGGGGAAGGGGAGGGAAGCGGGGGTTAAGAGTGCTGACGGTTGCTGACCAAGTGGGTTGGGAGATTTGGGCAATGCAGCGGTAGGGCTGAGATCTTCCAGGCCCCGGAAGGCACTTTCTCGATAGCTTGTGCCCGGGTTGGTGGGCAGGGTGGGGTGAGGATGTTTCGCTAGCGCAATAGTGTGTGTAGCATTGGCCGCTTATGAACCCAGTATTATTATGGTAGTCTACCCGGTCCAGTTTCCCGGAGAAGGGTTCCCCCCCCCCCAACCGGGGTGGGGCTGTCCTAGCCGTGGGTACTGTAGTTCGAGAGGCTCCTACTATAGGTGCCCTAATTCCAGTTATTCTTCTTATTGTACCTCTTTCCTCCCCGGTAAGAGGGATTCCTATGCGCTCCTGGTGAGAATTGTTCTGTATCATACGACCAGGCTGCGGTTGCTGGTGGGGGTAGGGGGGGGGGGCTTCCCGGGTGGTGTATCTTGCGTAGTACTTCCTGGCCATATTTGGGGTTGGCCGTTACTAGCACGACATGGCAAATCTACCGTAGTACAGTACCAGCACGGTATTTTTCAGAGTGGATCGTGAGGTTGTCTATATATGATATCCCTTCCAGCATGGCGTAGCACTACCGTGCCCGGTGCTGCATAGTATAATACAGTACAGCACCGTAATACTAATCCGAGAGTCGAGTCGAGTAGAGACGACGACACGAGGGTGAAGTTCATTTTCACTGTATGCAAGTAAATAGAAATGATCCGAACCAGATCCCACCTATCTCCCGCCCATCACCACCATCGTCATCACCATCATCCCCGGTTGTCGTTCCCAATTAATTCCCCTGCCATTGCATGATACTTACTTGCAGCCCTGTCCCGCCGCAGCCATAGCAGCAACACACACAGCAGAGAAAGGGGAACAGGGAAAGTATCATACCGCGGGTAGCTTCACTATTTCTACCTGCCTCACTCTAGCTCTGGATGGATGGATGGATGGATACTTCGTTCATTGGTTTACATACCCAATCGATTCGATTCCCTATTTAAGCACAAGATCGGATGTTGCGATGGGAATTCCATAGCGATAACTCCGACGGGTACTAACACCCCAACTACAGCGGGAATTTATATATATATATATTTATCCCTATTGTTTTTTTATTCATGACGGCGTCCCCAGAACCCACTCCCGAGAGCAGCGTTGGCTGTTTATATTATACAGCCACTCGACATACGTGTTCGTGAAACCTGTCTCACATCAAGTTAGTCATGCACCCTCGTGTACTTGTAAGCTCACCTGAAGAAAGTCAACTGTGTATATTTTTTTTATTTTTTTCTGTGATACTAACTCGACCTACCACGATTTAATACCATCAAGACCAGCTGACTGCAACTGTGACATGTATGAATTGCAAGAACCATTTTTTAGTCACTGTCTTTTTTTTTTTTTAATCAATTGAGAGGTGTCGAATGTGTATCTAGGAAAAAACTCTCAAATAGAGGGCAAGCCATATCAGATATCAGGGGGGGATAATAATTGCATTTTTTTTTTTTTACTGGTTAGGTAGTATTACTCAGGTAGCTTCCCTAGTTGGCCCCGAACAGTCTTGGAAACAAAGGGAGGTTGTACCAGTATTCGTTTCGGGGCAGGGTGAATGGGTATTCACATACTCGCCTGGTCCCGCTACGGTTATGGGGTGCCTTCCCGCTCCGGTTTCCCTGCCCTGCTCCCTGTACAAGGGTCAGCGGCGGGCCCTGCCCATGCGCTCAGCTATACTATTGGCTGGAAGTAGTAGGGGAGCCCCACATGGTGGGTTGGGGGAAGAGAGAATGGAGCTAAAAATAGGCCCAGCACCAAGCTAAATGCAGTGGCAGGGCAGGAAATAGCGGCAGAGGCGTGCAGTTTCTGGGGCCCCAGAAGCACCGAAATGAACTCCAAATTGCTCCAGGTATTAGCTATCAGTTTACAATAAACTCTGTAAAAATCTCCCATCAGAGATCTAAACCAAAATCACTGTCCAAACCACGATAGAATCAGCTGAGTAGGTTAGTGAAACCACAAATATCTGTTAATGAGATCTAGGCAACTCACACCCCTCCAGCTTTACTCTGTCCGAAAAATACTATCCCCAGTTAGGGTGTTTTGTCTCTGATCTGATGAGGATGATCCTGAAGGATGAGCAATAGTGTATCTGGTACTGTATATTTCTTATTATTAAGTTGTTTAATCTTTATTTATTTGTTTCCTTGCTATCTACACTTATTAAGCATCCACTCGTTGATTGGTTTGTTGATTCACTCGCCCATTCGTTGTGGTGCAAAAGCAGGTGGAACCCCACTACCGGTACTCCCCACCACCGAGCCCTATGGCGCAATTGCAATTAAACATGTCTCGGATCAAGAACAGTTCTGCCGAGTGGCTGTATATATCTCGTTTGAGCTTCCCTTCCCCCCACCTAACAGTTCAGGCCGGAGATAAATGGAGCTGGCGAAGGGGCGGGGAGGGCATTCCAGAGCACCATTATTATATACCTTACTCTAATCTGAGTGTGATAATTTAATTGGGTGGAGGGTATGATACCCGAATCTACGCCTGTATGACAAATATGTAAAGTCCGGGTGTTGGGAAGGGTATGCATGCCAAATCCCCCCCCCTTTCCTTCTCCTTCATGCTCTCATTCTATCGCAAACTCCTGGTATGGGCGGGCGCTCCAATCCGCTCCGATCAGTAGTCTGGAGGTGGAGAACCGGTTTCATCGGACTGGCCGGTGGGCTGTGGATCCGGTCGACTGATCCGAGCGGGGAGGCCCTCTCTCTCTAAGGAAGAATCGTGTCGCCCCTACCACAAAATCACTGCGCAGCTTGTCGCGTGTGGGTTGATACTGGGGCCGGTTTTGACCTGTGTTGTGGCAGGTTTGGATGGGGTGTGGAGACAGGCGATGGGTTATAGGGTTAGGGAGCAGGCATTATTATCGGGTATGATAGATTCGGTGGAGGCGTGGAGTTATTGCGGAGACATATATTGCGGAGACATATTTTGGAACATTTGCCTCTTAGAGTGGGGCTTCGGCTGCGGTTTTCTGCGGGTGGGCCAGCCTAGCTCAACTATTGGAACGCCACCTCAGTGTCATGACGGCCATTTCCAATCCCCTCTCCTCTGGTTCGCCTCTTTTCCGGTGGGCTCTAAGCCGACTTCACTATCGTGATATACTGTTCCAGTTCTCAATCGTTTCCACAAACATCTAAGAGCGGGGTGAAAAAACTCTACTCTACTCCTAGTACGAGTAATCGAGTGATAATCCATGACCACACCTGCCCATCTCCCGGTCCTATCACACAAAAACCCTATCCCCCACTACCCCCATCCAAAAACGCCGCGGGCCGGGCTGGAGAAAAAACACATCAAAAAGAGCGCAAAAAGAGTTCAGCAACCGGGATTCCCACATGGTCACCCACTGTAGTACTAACCGGTCGATACGGTGCTTGTTTACCGCAGAGCGGACGGGATGCGAAATTTTCACCGTTCTATGGCCGAACACAACAATCTGCCTTCTTCCAGAAATTTTATACCCCGGCCTGACGGTGAAGTCTATTGGGGATTTACGAGCTCAATAAGTTCAAATAAGCCAACGTACGAGACACACACGAGCTCTCGGGGAGTAGATACAGCATCGTTTGAAAAGGCAGAACTTTATTGGCTTCCGGCTTGGGATCTGGGACCTTCAAAATTTCTGAATACCCTGCTGTAGCATACAGCGCGTTAGCTTTTAAATGCCAATCAGCCCAACTTGAGCCAGTGCCGATAGCGAGCGAGTGAAAGGCGAGCGCGGCTATGGAAGTCCCCATGTCGCGTGAAGGAAGACCTCTTGGGCAGGTAACTTAGGCGGCTGTCGAGGGTTAGCAATAGTTCGGAGTCTGAGCGTTGAGGGTGCGATATGATACCAACACCGGCATCATAACTTGTACGAGACGCTTCAAACATTTAGGGCTGAATCACGCGATCACGCGTGTTAAGGATTCCTGGCCCAAAGGTTGGTATAATGTGTTATATCAGCGGTGAGTGTTCTGGTATCATACCGGTAGATGGTGAAAGTCGGGCAGATCATTTCATGATTCTGTCACCTCCGAACGTGTCGTTATGCAGTGTTTCGGTAGTGTGCTGTATCGTTTCGGGGCAGTCACCGTGGTAGGATAAGTGGCCGGGCCGAGTGAGACATGGGCGTACAAGTACTCGGGTGTGGACGTGGGATACCGGACAGCCAGGGATTCTAGAGGCCTGACCGTCCTTGCCCTCATAGGAAATAAAAGGAATGAGTCTGGCATGAGAATTGCTCGAACAAGCAAGAAGCTTTGACACCTCTAATCCCTGGCTGTCCGGTATCCCACGTCCATACCCGAGTACAAGTACTCGTAGAGGGGTCCCAGCGGGTGAGCTAACGTCACATGCGATGTGCCGTGATCCTAGATCCCCTGCCGATGTTTCTCCCGACCCAAGATCTAAGCAAATCAGGAACGGAGCCGACTCCACACGTTGGGATGTTATTAATGTTCAAGGGGATTACTGGTGGTTGAGAATTTCGGAGAGATTACTGGTAGGACAACTTGGCGCCAAGCTTCCGCGCTTTGGCGGGGCCTCGGCACCGAGGCGTCCGGATACGTATTGAACTTACGAGTATTGAGTCCTTCTGGCGGAGAACCAAGATCTCAGAAATACTCAAGCATTGGCTCCAGGTTGCCATGATGGATGTAGGCCAACTTGGTTCACAAGATCACGGGATTGCACAAATATGTAGTTTCTGGAGGGGGGGAAAAAAAAAAGGGAGATTTTATATTAGAGTGTACAAGGCTAAGTCCAACTATTCGACATCCAACAACACATACAGCCCCCACCCTCCAGACCTCTCATAAAATTTAGTTGACAACAGGAGCAACACAGCCGGTAACGATGTTGACAACACCATTCTGTAGAATATCAATTAGCTTCCATAAGAAATGGCGAATTAGCATCTGGGAACAAACCTCGTCAGACTCGGCGTTACAACAGGCAGCTCCGGCACTGCATTGTTTCTGGGCGGAGACGACATCGACTACTCAATGGATTAGCTTTGACCAAATATTGGATTCTCGGAAGAATAACTTACCAGCCAAGACATTGACGGGGACAGAGTTACACTTGACACTGAGTCCGTTGAAGACACCTGTGTATTGGCCGACAGCCTTCTCGTGGGTATTATCGTTGCAGCAGTAGATTTTCTGGTCCTGGTTTCCACACTTGATGCTGGAATCTTTGACGTCGACATTGCTGCCATGGCCATGGCCACCGGCACCGGGGCCTGCGGCGGCGGCGGCAGCGAAGAGGAGGACAGCGAGGGACTTGATGGCAACCATTTTGATTGATTTTTCGGATGTTTGAAAGCAAAGGCTTGAGAGTAAAGAGTGCTTGGGGAGTGAAATGGTATTTGTAGTAGTGAAGTGAGGGATGTTTGAGTGGATGGGGATAGAAAATCATGGAGGGGGGGACAGGTATTTATATGCCATTGCTCCGGCTCTCTTGTTATTCCATCTTGCTCTTTTTTCTTCTTGATTTGCAAAGCCCTCTCTGATGAGCGGAAAGACAATTCAGTTCAGTACTAGTACATTCCGGTAGCTGTGGCGGTCGTCTAACCGGTTCCTGGGCGGAGCAGGCTGTCAACCTGATATTGGCATTACCCCGGAGTGAGACCCCACGACAACTTAGTTGGAGAACGAAAACAACAGGATTCCCGACCGACACACTTCTCTCTACGATGCCCCAGCCATTCCGCACAGGGAATTCTTTTGACTGCTGTATCTGGTTATGAGCTTCAGGGGAAAGAGTCTGATGATCCGGATTACATCGCTGTCCACTCAAACTCCAATTGAATATTTTCCCTTACAATTTATTGCACTGTACGAGCATCTTTTTCCTAGGGAGCTGTGGCGATGAAAAATGTGGTACCCGCATGAAAGGGCCCAACAGATGGGACTGGATCTACGAGTACCGGTAATTCAACTGAATACCATACACAACGACTTGATCCCCGAGACAAGTTTAGTAAATAAATGCCAAAGCTGGCTAGAGAATTTAGTTCTACAGCGCCGACCCTAATTTACTATGAGTCTACTAACACCGTATCAAATAACCGGCACTACTCCCTGCTCTGCTCGAGTACCGTCCTCGTACAGATGGACTACGATACTCTATAGTATTAATAGCTTGCGCCGGTTCCGCACCGGTAGGTAGGGGTATTGAAGTCTAGTCTCTGCACGCACAAGTAGTGTGAACTGAGCGTCGTCCGGAGGGGCCCATAGCCCGCCCCAATCACCGTACCACATTCGGGGGAGTATGTTACTGTACAACTTCAGGTGATTGCCGAACAAGAACTACCCGGAACCAAGGTTCTCAATTTTTGGGAAATATCATACTCGTGAACGATGCGCGATGGATCTAATCTAGGGTAAAGGGGGTAGGGGTGGAGGGGGGGCAGAGCAATGGTTGAGCCGCCTGTTGTCTTTGAAAACTTATGGTTTGGTACAAGTGTGCCGAACCGTTCGGATCTGCACTGCGTCGGGGGGGCCATCCTCGAGTAGGACAGTGGGCCCGAACCCAGTGAGACAATGGCGCACTCCTTTGCGTTACCCGGCGGGCACGGACTGCGGGACGCCTCAAGAGGAAACTCTCACAGTCTGGATCTAACCTCAATATATCTATCCCGATAACTGAACAGACTGCAATACGATAGGGCAAGAGTGAAAAAGCCTTTCGCCGCTGGGTTCTCGGGTTCCTAGCAGGGTACTGTATTCGTTGCGGGATCCATACCTTTCAAAGCTAGAGACCGAGAAATATTCGGGCCAAGATCTACGGTAACCTCGCTAATGAGCGGGATCCGAGATAGGCGTGGGGTGCGTTATGATGGGGAGCGGTAGGTAAGAGCGAATTTTAGCATCAGATCCGAAATCACGCCTTACATCTAAACCCCCCCCCAATCCACCAGGTACGACGCGAGTAATGCTGCCTTCGCCCTCGTGAATTGTTCTGCCAGTAATGGTAGACAGTGGGATACTTCCGTAGCCAATGAGACCATATCCCGGGCGCTATTATAGTCAAGGCTACTCTTCCCATTCTATGTCTTTCGGGCTGATCGAGATTGAGGCACATAAAGGGACAAAGCCACCTCTGTACGCCAGCGCGGCACAATGCTGTATTCTTGAAATTCTGTCACTGTACTCTTCTTGGGGCCAGTAACCAACCAACCCCTCAATTCGGCTCTGTTCTCAAGGACAATGTGGTAAACCCTCAGATAAATATGACTATGGTACAAGAAAACCCAACCCGAACACTCCTTGTCCAGTACGAGATTCTCAAAGTTAAAAGTTAAGGTCATCCCCTAAGCTAAGCCTCAATTGAGTATACCCACGTATCATCTGACTCCCGGCTTGTAAGGCATGTCCTGCAGATTTTCTGCAAACCTTACAGAGCCTGGCGCTCACATGAGCACTTCTCCTATTTACAAACCTATCCAGATCAAAGGACCCCTTCTGGCTCTACATTCCCCAGCACCAATGCACGGAGTTCTCAAAAGTCCCTCAAAAACCCAATTCCTACACAACGCAGTGTACTAGTACAGAGAGAATTACCAATATCGCAAACCAGTATAAGCAAGACAGTTTCTGTGCCCCCCCCCCAAAGCCACTCTCCACTCACCCGTGGTTTCGTATCATGCTCGGTTGGCGCTGGCGACAGCAACACAATCAGTAACAATATCGAAATGACTGGTCTGTGGCTACCAATTAACTTCCATAAAAAAAACTCCACCAACCATAATAAAGAGACAAACCTGATCACTCCCACTGTAGCAGCAAGTGGTCTTAGACTTGCACCTATTCCGTGCAACAACATCACCAACTACCGGTATTCAATCAATCAGCCTTTCCTAGGTTTGTAGATTGAGGATTCAGAGGAAAAATATCACCCACCATCCCAACCGTCGATAGTCAAAGCATCACACTTGACGAAACTGTCATCTAATATACCGGAGAAGGCGCCGGCAGTCTCGGAGCTCTTAGCATCGTTACAGCAGAAGAGCTTCTGCTCCGGGTTTTCGCACTTTATGATAGAGTCATTGATGTTGCCATTATGGCCAGCACCCTGATGCTCGTCACCGGCTACAGGGATTGCGGCGACGGAGGCGCTTAAGAGGAGAAGGGCGAGGGGCTTGATTGAAACCATCTTTGATCGATTCGGGAGCTGAAGCGGGAACAGTGAATCCAATAGAGTATAGGTGCGAGTTGAAAGTCGCTCAAATACTTGTGTAGATGAAGATTCAAACCCCGTGAGCAGGAGAAAGGGGAGTTATACCCAATCCTCTCCCATCAGTGCGGAAAAAAAGGACCCCGAATCTTTCGTACCTTTTTTTTCCTCACCGAAGAAAACGCCCCCCCCTCCCCCCACGGGACCATGGATATCATTGACCACACAATACAACACAGCTACCGGTAAACGTTCTCATCGACAACCTCATCGCATAGGAACGGATTGTTCCGATACTAATTAGAACTAGCGCTAACCCGACTCATGATTTGACCACCAATCAGACCGAGACACGGCCCGGATTAATTCCCCCCAATTTTCGTGTCTCAGCCAGCCCTTGAGGGTGGACGGCCCGGCGAAACACCATCCGTGAGGAATAGCGTGCCAGTTGATGGGATCGGCACAGAGGGCCAGCCAGCGATATCAAAGACACTTTCCAGGTACCGCGTGTTCCCGAACGGTAAGTTATCCGGTTCAGCGGAGATGGGATGAGATGAGGTTTGCTGCACCGATCGGGTAATGATGGCCGCTGTTGTTGAGGTCCCTGAGTGATCGACCATGACTTCTAGCGTAGAAGGGGTGAGTCGTCCAGGCCGGGACTCGGTCGTGATGTTGTACTCGTAGAGAGCAGCAAAAGAACTGGTACACTTTCCCTTTTTTCTCTTCCTCTCTCTCCTCTTTCTCCAGTTTCTCCGTCGAGAAGGCTCGCTTTCCGGTTGAAAATAGATGTCAGATTAAGGAGAAATGTCATGTATAAAGACCCCCTCTTCCTCCTCCACCAATCTTTCTTTTCACCACCATCCTCATCAATTCACTCCTCCACATTTCCACTACCACCAATCCACTTCATTCTTTAGTCTTTAGATCCACCACATTCTTTAAGCTTTAGCTTTAACAAAACCCTCACCTAATCAATCAAAATGGTCTCAATCAAGTCCCTCGCTATTCTCCTCTTCGCTGCCGCTGTCACCGCGATCCCCGTCGCTGGTGGCGAGCACCACGACGGTCACGACGGTCACAACGTCAAGGTCCATGACAACAGCAAGGTCTGCCCAGAGCAGAACCAGGAAATTTACTGCTGCAATGACGCCCAAAAAAGCGGGGACATCGGTTCCAAAACTAGCATCTTGGATGGGCTTAAGGTCAAGTGCAACAACGTGCCCGTCAATGTCCTTGCTGGTGAGTAGCCTCTTCCTCTTGGATGTTGGTGCGAGCAAATCTAATGAAGGGAATAACAGTCGACGTGCTCTCGGGTGCCAGCCAGTGCAGCGGTAAGGCTGCTTGCTGTTCTAGCAACAATAAGCAGGTATGCTTCTTTCACCGATGAATGCTTTGGGGGGCGGGGGAGACGGATCGTAGCTGACCGATGTTTCCAGAATGGTGTTGCCAATGTCGACCTTGGTTGTATCGCTCTCGCAGGTCTCAACTAAGAGATCTTCGATGTCCGTACAAGATTATTAGAAGGACGGGTATGCGAAGGATCTGGTACGAAATGATGGGTGCAGATGAAAGGGGGTAGGGGGGGGGGTCGATTACTGTCTTTTCAATAGTGTCAGTTTAATATTAATATCGAGCATTATCACTGCTATCAAAAACTCAAGTGACGAGCTCCGTTTTTCAGAATTTCATTGGTGATTGAAAGCTATGGGAAAGCAGCACCCTTCCAGACCATGGTATCACAGATAGATAGCTAGATATATAGATAAATGGTTGCACGGTGTGGGTGACTTGGATCCCGCACTTTGGGAAACACCTTAGCTTCGACAGGTACGTCCCATACGGAACCCCTCTATCAGATCCCCCCCCCTTAAATCGTAACGGCTGCGGGTACCATGGAACGAATGGTCCATGGATAGCAAAGTATCCGAAATATCACCTGCTGGCTATTTAATCAAATATATTATTCTGATATACCCAACGAACTCAGCCAATATCGTTAGCTTTGTTCCGAAATCTTAGTAACACATTGGAGTGCGGCAACTACCATCTCTTATGGTGGAAACTATGGTCTGGGTACTGTCGGATTGCCTATAGGGCAGACGGTTACGCTGGTATGTGATGAGCGACATGATATGGGGTTTTAGATTAGTCGGTACCTCTTGCAATCGCACATAGCGTATCAGGTATTTGGTTTCCGGATGTTTATTTGACACCATATGCCATTCCACATATCATAGTTGGCATAGGACACAGGCTTTAGGGATCAAGGAGCATCATGAGATCTCATGACAGTTCCATATTGCTTGAAATCGTACTAGATCTTGATTCGTCAGGTTGGGGTGCTTCTTCACAGTCCGTCGAGTTTCCTTGAGCTCCGGGAGTTGTTACTCGCAGAACAGTCGGAACAGTCTCGAGATGCCAGCAAAGCCATCGGGATTGGCAAAAGATCCGGGGATGAGATAAAGGTAAGAGAGGTGAAACTGCAGCGAGAAAAAGGTGGGGATCAGAGGGACCGGAAAAAATAAGGGCAACCTAATAGGAAACGTTTCCTTGGTAATATCGCCTAAAGATGGCCAAGTAACTCCCTCCCGAGGCGATCGAATAAAGGCAGCAGCGAGGAATATCTACGAAAAGTATAAGGCGCTAATTGCGTGGTATTGAAAAGGTTTTCTCATTCTGGCAAACTTGAGCAATGTTCTCGAGCATCCCTAAATACGTGTGCATATCTTGCAGCTTTTTAGAGGGGGTTAATAGCCATAGTTAACCCGAGATCTTTACCAAAGGTCGCAATCCCCGAATATTCTGGTGAACTAAAACGCGACAAATACAGACGACGGGATAGGTACAGTAGTAGGACTGGGGCATGCTGCACACTGGGCCTCTCATTGAGTCTAAAGGTGGCTCAGATACCCGAAACATCCCCATCCATAAGCCCTGCCGACATCTGACAGCAATCAGAATACTGTCACCGGCGGCATTCACTCGCCCCATGCATCAATCCTACCATAAACCCCTCTACGCTTGGGGGAGTCCATAAGACGGCCATCGATTCATACCTCCCGTAGTGGCTATGAGTCAGCTATCCCACGTCATGTACCACCACGGGTATTTGGGTGGTTCCAAGATTTATTAACGACCTTGTTTCACCCGCAGGTGTCTGAGAAGCTCCAGTAGGTCTCAAGCCCTCCACCCTGCTAGATAGATATTAGTATAATACATCGTCAGCAGAGCTGGCTAGGTGAGGACGTGCCTGGATAGGGTGCAAGAGATAGCAGATGGTCCTGTAATCTAGCTCTCAAATGCTGATTTCCCCGGTAAAGGCCCCGGCCGCTTACCCGGAGGGTCTCCTCGAATGTAGGGCCTGATGTACATATCACCATTGAGCATAGGAAGAGGGTACAGGATGGTGGTCTCGTAGGATGGGGGGGTTGCACGTTGGTATGATGAACTTTGTACTCGGGTACATGGTGTAAGCTCGTGTGTGTTGGGGTTTCCTCTCGAGTAAGCTCGGCCGATCACATACCTGCTGTCCCGGAAGTGGGGAAGAGGCTGCCCTCTTTTGAGATGCCTCCTAGCCACAGCCCAATTGTTCGAATAATAGAGTCTCCTGAATTATCTCCCCCGGGGAGCTAAGGACTGTAAGGCGTTGGACAGACCAAACCAATGAGTGAGGCATCCTAGCCATAGCCCTGGGCATGTCGCACCGGGGATTGGCACCTGAGGCAGCAAGGTACCAGCGACAGAACCTTGAGAGGAAAGACGACAAGCTGGCTAAGATGTACTTCGATTAATTTGGAACACTTGAATACGAGTACAATACGGAGCCTGGCACCCCTCTCATTGAGAGGATGTGCTTTCCACCAAAGGCACCTATTGCAGCGGCCCCTGCCTATCGCACGATAGACCATGGTTCCATCAGCTAGACCCACCTGATCCGCATCCTAGAATTTATCCAGGGTCACATCAGGCTCCTCTGAACTTGCTGAACGAAGCCTGTAGGCTGTAGCCCATGAGTAGAATATCAGATGATGACGTTGAGAAGATAGTCGCAGAACATTTGGAACAGCCCCACGATGTCGATGAGGCCCTGGGAATTGGTAAACGGGCCGGGGGCAAGATAAAGGTATACGAGGCTGACCAGTAGAGAGAAAGAGGGGGGTTAGCTGGACCGGGAGGGGGGGGACCTGATGGGGGTATGGCTCTTGCATCCCCTTATAGTGTATCTTATTATCTCTATTTAGTTAATTGAATCCTAATACTGCATTCACCGCAATCATGAAATACCAACAAACGTGCCCAGGTGGCTGCTGCCAGTGGAGATGGGAGTATTAAATCGTTCAGTACAAAACTAGACTACAAGCACAAAAAAGAGTGGTGAGTAAGGCCATAAGATATGCCACATAATACAAAGATGTAGGATTCACGAAAACCAAGGCGATATCTCAAAGAACAAAGTTTCAATTCCGAGGCTATAGAAGAAAGCAAAATAGAAGACTGGTGCACCATTGTTGCTTCTAGTCACGAAATCACATAAGCCTGAAAGCACAACAATTAATCGAAGGTACCACGACTGTCACCCAATCCCCTCCATAGTCCAACCCACCCGTGCCCAATACCTCAATCTACTACAGACCCCTCCGACGAGCTGCTTGACCCACTCTCTTCTTCAGTGGCTGCCAGAATTAGCTTTGACTACAATTCACGCGAGAGATCAAAAAGGCTAACGTACAGCATTCACCTTGAGAACTGACTTCAGGCGCAGGAGACCAGATGGCCTCGTAATAGTCTCTTATATCGTGCTCGGTGATAACATAATTTGCCTCTCCGCACTCTTTTTTGGGCTTGCGTAAAAAGATATCCCTAAACTTCAACTTCAAAGGGGCACCAGTGACTGATTCGGGGGTAATACTGATTACCCTTTTGAGAGTTGGTCCGGTAACTTCATCTTTATTGTTCCCGCGTTGTGGATTTTCGACTGTAGCTCGTTTCCACAGTTCAATCCGTATGGTTTTGTCTTCCACTGACGCAAAAAGGAGGAGGACAAGCTTGACCGCGCCCTCCAAGCTGTCGATCCACCAGCGGGCATCTGCAGTCAAGCGGCGTGGGGTTTGAGTTACGCCCCGTGTTCCCAAACGTCCAGTCCGTCCGTCCTTGGCTTCAGACGGGACAGACACCGGTTTCTGGAACTCTGCCCTGGACGGACGCCCATCCTGTGGTCCGTCGCAACTACTACCCTGGACGGCCGGCCGGGCCCTATAGGTGTCTCACCTGCAAATGACCCTGCAGATGAGAGCCAGGCCCTACAGATGACGGCCTGGCCCTGCAGATGATGGCCGAGCCCTATAGATGACGGCCGGGCTTTGTGAATGACGGCTGGGCCCTGGTGAGGACGGCCGGAAGATGCCATTTGTGTTAAGACTCCCAGGCCCGGGTGTCAACTCCTCGGACGGCGGTGTTTATCAAAGACGGATGCCATGCCCTGTCATCCTTACCCACCCTGCCCGGGACGGTTGGAAACACCAGTTACGCCACACTCGAGGATAACCGTCGACCAATCATTATGGTCGGGACGAGCTCGGCGAGGTCTGAACAACCCATCCGCTTCTCCGCAACTGAGTTTGCCTTGATAGGTTGTACTCTGCATACTTAGTAATCTCAGCCCCCTGGCCCCCCTCATCTATCTTCTTTCCGATGGTATGTACAAACTCGTCACTAGCCATTTCATGCACTAGGCTCAGCATAGATTTAACAATCAATACCTTTGGTTCATTGAGGTAGAGGAAGTGGAGTCCTTTGTAGCGCGTCTTGCGAACACAACCGATATTTGCAAGCTGGCGTGGCGTTACTAGAGAAAAAATTAGGTACGGGGGAAGGTGTTCATCAACTTTACCCAAACGCAATGCATCCGCTCGCGAATCCACTGTTCCTTTGAATGAGCTAATATCATAATATTCATGATTTTCCACACCCTCTAACCCTTTTGTAAGATAATAATGCGTGTCGAGTGGTCTCTCACGCTCTATGGGTAGGGAGCTGTCAGGGAGGGATAGATAGGCGTCGGCTTGCTGGGCGGGCATGGCGGGCATTCTTTCGGAGATTTGTCGTAGATACAGAAGAGAGTGATGCCTCCTAGGTGGTATGAGTACAATCGCTGTTGTTACGGAGCCTTTAAGCTTCAGAGGAACACGTGCGATGGTTGTACGGTGCAAAGCGTCTCAAGGTGGGTCCTCTGATGAAACAGAAATGCCGTGGCAACCCATTGCAGCCGATGCGAGTGGAGCTAAGAAATGCCAAGACCTGAGCTCTGAATGAAGTGTGGTGATGAAGGATTAGGGTAGGGGACCCATTAACTGCAATACTGTAGAGAGGAATCTATCTTACAAGTTAGTCTCAAATAACCGTTCAATAACTTTTGACTAAACACTATACACATGTAGGCATCTACAGTATTTTTCAGCATAGCCCTGAGTAGATTATGTCACTTGTTTCACTCTCACCAAAAATTTCAAAACTTTTCCTCCTCTAATTCTGCTTATTATACCTAAAACACTTAATTGAAAAAAAAAACCCC